ATATGATAGAGGTCTATTAAATCAGGTATGGAGAAAGTAAATAAGGATCTTCTCATAACACAAGAACTAGGGGTTACCAAATGAAATGAATAGGCAGCAAGTTTAAAACAAACAAAAGGAAGTATTTCTTCACACAACACACAGTCAACCTGTGGAACACTTTGCCAGAGGATGTTGTGAAGGCCAAAACTATAACAGGGTTCAAAAAAAAACTAGATAAATTCATGGAGGATCGATCCACCAACGGCTATTAGCCAGGATGGGCAGGGATGGTGTCCCTATCCTATTTGCCAAAAGCTGGGAATGGGCGACAAAGGATGGATGACTTGATTATTACCTCTTCTGTTCATTCCCTCTTAAGCACCACTGTTGAAAGACAGGATACTGGGCTAGATGGATCTTTGGTCTGACCCAGAATGGCTGTTCTTATGTAAAAACTTCCCAATGTACATTCAATAAACAAAGAGTAACACACAGAATGCACTGAGGTGTACACAAAAGGAAGAAAGTGGTTTCTGATCCACTTTAAAATAGATGTATTACCAATTATCTCAAACATAAGTATGTTATAAAACAGATTTTAGATTAATGAGTTGAGATAAATCTGTTTCAATAATATACTTGCCAAATAAATTGTGACAAGAAATAGATAAAGCTGCTATGGAAATATGTCATGTTGCTTGTCAACATATTTATTCACTGCTTTCTTGACATATTTAATGTATACAACAGTCCAAAGATTTGGGCACTACCATGGGAATTGGGAGCCCTGGGTTCAGTTCCCAGCTCCGTCACAAACTTCCTGTGTGATCTTGGGCATGTCACTTAAGCCCGGTCTGCATACTCATTTTACACTGATTTAACTATTTCTGTTAGAAATGTGATTCTTTTGTAAAATCAATTTTTCTGATACAACTTATGGAGCGGATGCAGCTACACCAACATATCGGTGTAGCTAAAGCAGTACAACTTGTTTGTGTAGACAAGCAGTGAGGCAGAGACAGGCCAATGCTGAGTGATTTTGAGTAATTTCCTAGGATGGGATTTTCAATGTCAATTCAGGTGATTTACATATACAATTTTAAATATTAAGTTTTTAAATTTAAACTGATCATAAACGTGTTTTATCCACAAAATTGTAAATAGATTTAACATATGCAATTGTTAAAGAGTACATGGGGGACACAGAAGACCTAATTTTACCAGTGACTTATTAATTGGAAAACAAAGGCCTTTTAATCAGACTTCCATGCTGCATTTCAATCATAACAACCCATCATTTCTCCTACCATGAACAAACTTTTTTTCTAAGGCTAAGCTCCCTGGGGCAGAGACTTTGCCTCATTTGTTTTCAAATTTGACCAGCATACTTTGGTGCTATGCAAACAAAGCTCTTCCGCTGGGCATGGCTTTTCACTATGGCCATGTCTACATAACAGTGACACTGCACCCATGTCACCATAGTGTAGACACTTCCTACATTCACAGAAGGTTTTTTTCCATCACCACAGTTATCTACTTCTTCCAGCGGTGGCAGTGAGGTTGACAGAATAATCCGTCAATCAACCTAGCTGCATCTACAGTGACTGTTAGGTTGGCCTAACTACATCGCATAGGGCGCAATATTTTTCAAAGCCAAGAGTGACATAGCTAGGTCAATCTAATTTTTAAGAGTAGACTAGGACTAAGTTTGTAGCTTGCAGCCAGAATCGAAGGCAGAGGTGGGCAAACTATGGCCCGCGGGATTGTCCTACCTGGTTGCTGAGCTCCCGGCCAGGGAGGCTAGCCCCTGGCCCCTCCCCCGCTTTTCCCTCTCCCCCGCAGCTTCCTGGTGGGCAGCGCGGGTGGCATGGCTGGCTCCGGCAAGGTTGTGAGCTCCTGCCGCTCTGAGCGGCATGGGACGGGGGGGGGGGGAGGAGGAGAGGAGTGTTGGATAAGGGGCAGGAGGTTCCGGGAGACAGACAGGGGATTGGGAACGGGGGGGAGGGGGGAGATGGATAGGCGTGGGAACCCAGGGGGGTCTGTCAGGGGTTGGGGGTGTGGATAAGGGTCAGTGCAGTCAGAGGACAGGCAGCAGGGAGGGCTGGATAGGGGGTGGAGTCCCGGGGGTCAGTTAGGGTCAGGGGGCTCTCAGGAGATGGCGGTCAGGGGAAAAGGAGCAGAGGGGGTTGGATGGGTTGGGGATTCTGAGGGGGTCAGGAAGTGGGAGGGGGTGGATAGGGGGCAGGGGCCAGGCCATTTGGGGAGGCACAGTCTTCCCTATCCGGCCCTCCATAGAGTTTCACAACGCTGATGTGGCCCCTGGGCCAAAAAGTTTGCCCACCCCTGACCTAAAGCCTTGTCTTTACTAACTAAAACTTAGCATGTATAAAAATTACACTCCCCACCCCAACACAGCTATGGCCTAAAGCAGTGGTTTACAGGGTACACATATCCTGGGGGTACACAGAAGTCTTCCATAGGGTCATCAACTCCTCTAGATATTTGCCTAGTTTTACAACAGGCTACATAAAAAGCACTTGCAAAGTCAGTATAAACTAAAATTTCATACAGACAAAAAGAGAAAGTAAGCAATTTTTCAGTAATCGTGTAATGTGACAATTGTATTTTCAAGTCTGATTTTGTAAGCAAGCAGGTTTTTAAGTGAGGTGGAACATGGAGGTACACAAGACAAATCAGACTCCAGGAAGGGATACAGTATAGAATCATAGAATATCAGGGTTGGAAGGGACCTCAGGAGGTCATCTAGTCCAACCCCCTGCTCAAAGCAGGACCAAGCCCCAACTAAATCATCCCAGCCAGGGCTTTGTCAAGCCTGACCTTAAAAACCTCAAAAGAAGGAGATTCCACCACCTCCCTAGGTAACCCATTCCAGTGCTTCGTCACCCTCCTAGTGAAAAAGTGTTTCCTAATATCCAACCTAAACCTCCCCCACTGCAACTTGAGACCGTTACTCCTTGTTCTGTCATCAGCTACCACTGAGAACAGTCCAGATCCATCCTCTTTGGAACCCCCTTTCAGGCAGTTGAAAGCAGCTATCAAAGTAGTCTGGAAAGTCCCCATATCTACTCTAGCGACACCATCAGAAGACCCAACCACATCATCAGAGGCTCATTCACCTGCACGTCTACTAATGTGATATATGCCATCATATGCCAGCAATGCCCCTCTGCCATGTACACTGGCCAAACCGGACAGTCCCTACGTAAAAAAATAAATGGACACAAATCGGACATCAGGAATGGTAACATATAAAAGCCAGTAGGAGAACACTTCAATCTTCCTGGACATTCAATACGAGATTTGAAAGTAGCTATACTTGAACAAAAAAACTTCAGAAACAGATGTCAAAGAGAAACGGCAGAACTAAAATTCATTTTCAAATTTAACACCATTAATTTGGGCTTGAATAGGGACTGGGAGTGGCTGGCTCATTACAAAAGTAGCTTTGCCTCTCCTGGAATTGCCACCTCCTCATCTATTATTGGGAGTCGACGTCATCGACCCTGATCGAATTGGCCCTGTCAACACTGGTTCTCCACTTGTGAGGTAACTCCCTTCTCTTCACGTGCCTGTATATTTATGTCTGCATCTGTAATTTTCACTCCATGTATCTGAAGTAGTAGGGTTTTTACCCACGAAAGCTTATGCTCAAATAAATCTGTTAGTCTTTAAGGTGCCACCAGACTCCTTGTTGGTTTTGTGGATACAGACTAACAGCGCTACCCCTGATACTTGTTAAGTGTCAAACTCCACCCTATTGCTCCAGAGGTTTCTGGGTCACCAGACCAGACCAATTTGGGCACCCAATCAGCTGCTTGGAGGTGAGAGAGCGAGACAAGGCCCCACTTATCAAGCCTGCAACTACTGGGAGCAGCAGTTCTGGAGCACATGTGGCGGGGGGCGGGGCTTGACTCCCTCCAGCGGCCACTGGAAGGGGCGGGTCTGGGCGCTCTCCCCCCAGCAACAACAGCCGTTGGAAGCGGCGGTTCTGGAGCGGCGAAGCCTTGCCTGTCCCTTCCACCCAGCGGCCGTTGGAAGGGGCGGTTCTGGAGCGGCGAAGCCTTGCCTGTCCCTTCCACCCAGCGGCCGTTGGAAGGGGCGGTTCTGGAGCGGCGGGGCCTTGCCTGTCCCTTCCACCCAGCGGCCGTTGGAAGGGGCGGTTCTGGAGCGGCAAAGCCTTGCCTGTCCCTTCCACCCAGCGGCCGTTGGAAGGGGCGGTTCTGGAGCGGCGAAGCCTTGCCTGTCCCTTCCACCCAGCGGCCGTTGGAAGGGGCGGTTCTGGAGCGGCGGGGCCTTGCCTGTCCCTTCCACCCAGCGGCCGTTGGAAGGGGCGGTTCTGGAGCGGCGGGGCCTTGCCTGTCCCTTCCACCCAGCGGCCGTTGGAAGGGGCGGTTCTGGAGCGGCGGGGCCTTGCCTGTCCCTTCCACCCAGCGGCCGTTGGAAGGGGCGGTTCTGGAGCGGCGGGGCCTTGCCTGTCCCTTCCACCCAGCGGCCGTTGGAAGGGGCGGTTCTGGAGCGGCGGGGCCTTGCCTGTCCCTTCCACCCAGCGGCCGTTGGAAGGGGCGGTTCTGGAGCGGCGGGGCCTTGCCTGTCCCTTCCACCCAGCGGCCGTTGGAAGGGGCGGTTCTGGAGTGCGGCGGCTGCTCTGCCCCAGCGGGCTAAAAGCTAAACAAAGCTCCGCGCGCTCCAGAGCGGCTTTCTCCAACGGCAGCTAGAAGGGAGGAGTCAGGCGAGGCCCCAGGCCCGAACGCACCGGCTCCTCCGCCCAAAACTGCTGGGGGTGCGGGGCTGGCCCGCGTGACCCAGAATCTCCCTCTGTCCGACCCTCCCGACCGGTGAGGGGAACCCCCGCGTGCGCCAGCCCGCGCCCCGGCTAACTGGGGATGGCGCCGTGTTCCTTCCCCGGGCCCCACGCGGCCAAGCAGGCCTCGTGACCAGGCAGGCTCCCCGAGCGGGGACAGCGCGGCTCGGCTCCGTTCCCCTGCCCTGGCACTGACCTAGATAGAGCACGACGGGGATGAAGCCCCAGCGGATGGCGAACTGGCCGCCCTTGAAGAGCTGCTGCAGCCGCAGCTTGGCCTCTTTGCTCAGCTTCGGCATCCCGGCAGCGCGAGAAAGGGACCTGTGCGCGCGGCCGCAGGACTTGTAACTGCGCAGGCGCGGCGGCCGCGGGACAGCCGGGACGTAGCTACCTGCTCGGGCACCTCCAGGCCACAGTGCGCGGGGGAGGCGGGGTCGCGCGCATACACTCGGGACGGGCGGGGTGTCGGGCCGCTGTGGACGGGCGCGGGGTAGAAGACACTGTCAGCCTCTCGTTCCCGCCTTTAGTCCTTTTATCTGAAGCGGAACGAGGTCTGGCTGGACTCCCCGCAGGCTCGTCCCAGTCTCCCCCGGAACGCGCTGTAGCAAACGCAGCCGCGGGCTGCCTCTGCGCAGGCTGGGGCCTCGCTGCAGCCGTGGGCTTGAGTCCCGGCCTGGACCTCGGCTCCAGGGCCCTGGGAGCAATTACGGTCACTGCTTGTTGAGCCCAGCTGGGTTCCTGGAGGTGCAGAGTGGAGCTTGTCATCCACGTTACCAGTCACAAGCCTTCCAAACCCACATCTGGAGGCCCCCCTGAATCACGATGTAACTAGAAAAGGAGTACTAGTGGCACCTTAGAGACTAACCAATTTATTTCAGAGCAACAGCCGCGTTAGTCTGTATTCGCAAAAAGAACAGGAGGACTTGTGGCACCTTAGAGACTAACCAATTTATTTGAGCATAAGCTTTCGTGAGCTACAGCTCACTTCATCGGATGCACCAGTGTAGCTCACGAAAGCTTATGCTCAAATAAATTGGTTAGTCTCTAAGGTGCCACAAGTCCTCCTTTTCTTTTTGCGAATACAGACTAACACAGCTGCTACTCTGAAACCTCTCATGATGTAAATAGTAAAAGCTGGGCTCTTTTCATTTGCCTTCTGGGACCTGAGCCTTTAGGCTGTGATCAGGTCACATTGTCAGGCATTCCTCTGCAATCATAAGAAAAGTAGACTTCTAGGGGTCATTTATTCCAGCCCCCTCATCTGGGACACGGCCAAGTACACCTAGACCATACCTAGCTGATGTTTGTTCAACATGTTTTTAAAACCTCTAGTGATGGTTGTTGGATTGAAATTCACCACTCAGCAGATGGGTCTAACATCTCTATTAAGACAAAATATTACCAAACTGTATCAGTTACTTACAAGTGGGAAGCACATTAAGACAATCTCACCATAGTCCCTTCCAATACTGGACAATTCACAGCTTCATCTTCCCTTTGTTGCAAAGATTATGTATAACGTTTTGATATCTTTTCTTATACATATGTATTAGAGCAAGTCTACACGTGCAGTGGTGTAACGCATCTGGTGAAGAGGCTCTCTATGCAGACAGGAAAGAGCTCTCCCAGTGGCATAATAAAATGAGCGTCAGAGCTTCTCCCGCCAACATAGTGCTATCCGTACCGACGCTTATGTTGGTGTAACTTCTGTCACTTGGGATGGTTTATTCCGAGGATGAAAGTAATTTAAAGGACTTACCGGTACACCGGACTCCTGAACAGGGGCGGGGCCTCAAGCGGAAGAGGCAGGGCCTTTAGAGCCCCGGGCCCTTCAAATCAAAATTTAAAGGGCCCAGGGCTCCGGCTGCAGTAAAGGGGACTAGGAGCCCCAGCCCTTTAAATCACTGCTGGAGCTACCAGCTGCGGAGACCACTGGGAGCCCCAGGGCTCAGGGGCCATTTAAAGGGCTCCGACGGTGATTTAAAGGGCCCAGGGCTTCTGTCCACCGTTACCGCAGCAGAGCCCCGGGCCCTTTAAATTGCCGAAGGAACCCGAGGGGTTCCCAGCTGCCACCACTACCCCAGGGCTTGGGGCTCGGGGCTCTGGCAGAGATGTAAAGGGTCCAGGGCTCCACTGCGGTAGCAGCGGCTGGGAGCCCTGGGCCCTTTAAATCACCACTGGAGCCCCGCCACTGCTACCATAGGGCTCCGGCAGTGGGGCTCCGGCAGCAATTTAAAGGGCCCGAGGCTCTTGCTGCTGCTACCGCCCCAGGCCCTTTAAATCGCTGACGGAGCCCTGGGCCTCCCAGCCACCTCCACTACCCGGGGACTCCAGCAGTGGGGCTCTGGCAACAATTTAAAGGGCCTGGGACTCCAGCTGCTGCTGGGAGACCCAGGCCCTTTAAATCGCTGCCTGGGGAAGCCGGTCCAGTACAGTGCACCGGCTCTTACCGGTATACCAGACCGGACCGGACCGGCTTACATTCACCTCTGGTTTATTCACACCCCTGAGCAACTAAGTTCTGCTGACATAAACAGTAGTGTAGACAGCCAAAGTCTCTTGTTTTCTTATAAACTCTCCTCTCCTGTCAGTACAAGCTTTATGCTCACTCAAACCAGTTTCTTCTAGTTTTGTGGTTACTTTATCTTTTGCTTTCCTCACAGACATGAGGAGATGGATGAGTCATTTCTTGGAAGAAATAGCCAAAACAGCAGACATGTTTGTAGTGGAGCACTTTACCTACCCAGCCATGGTGGGTGTGACCAGTAGTCATCACCAATATGGCCAGTCCCACAGTCTATGAAGTGGAATTAAAGTAGGCACCAGACCACCTTGCCAAAGAGTATATAAACTGCAAGGGGTACTTCTCAGTGGTGTTGCAAGCACTAGTGGATCATCGACATCAACGTGGGATGGTCGGGAAAGGTGCATGATGCTTGCATCTTTAGGAACTCTGGTCTCTTCAGAAAGCTGCAAGAAGGAACTTTCTTCCCATACCGGAAAATTACCGTTGGTGACATTGAAATGCCAATAGTTATCCTTGGAGACCCAGCCTACCACTTGCTCCCACAGCTCATGAAGTGGTACACAGGCAGCCTGGACAGCAGTAAGGAGCAGTTCAACCATAGGCTTAGCAAGTGCAGAATAGTAGTAGAATGTGCCTTTGGATATCTAAAGGGGCGCTGGCGCAGTTTACTCGCTAGGTTAGACGAAAATAATATTCCCATTGTTGTTGCTTCTCACTGTGTGCTCCATAATATCTGTGAAGGTAAGGGGGAAAAGTTTCTGGTGGGGTAGGGGGCTAAGGCAGATCGCCTGGCTGCTAATTATGAGCAGCCAGACACCAGGGCAATAATAAGAGCATATTGAGATGCTTTGAAAACCAGTTTCATAAATGACCTAACACTGATGTGACAGTTCTGTGTGTTGTTCCTTACCAAGCTGCCCCCTTTCTTGCATGCACTGCCCTGTAAACTAAACCCCCACCAACCACAGTGTGCACAGTGAATAAAGAGCCTCTTGTCCTCAATCCATGCATTTTTATTATACCAACAAACACTGAACAGAGACAGCAATGAATAACAAAGACAACCCGGGTCTAAGGGCCTGATAACATGGGGGCGGGGAGGGGCAAGGACACATAACTTATTACAGTTCCACTGCCTAGCAATCAAAGCTGTGGGAAGGAGAGCCTTCTGCTCCATGAACCATTCCCTGGAGCATTCTAGGATGTCTGGGAGAGGAGGATATGAAACTTGGTGAGGAGGGCAGCTGGTACATCATTGGGTGCAGCGGGATTCTAAGATCTAGCTGACTTTCCTGCACCTCAGTCAGATGCCTCAACATGTCTCTTTGCTCCCCTAAAACCGCAACATGTCGTCTTGCATGTTACATTCTTGTTCCCTGCATGCTTTCCTGCCCTCTTGATTTTTAGAAGCCCTTTAGGTCAGTGGAAAGGGCTCAGTAGTAAAGATATGCACATTATAAATTAGACATAACACGGCATATGTCGACTTAATGCCATAGTGTAGACATGGCCTCAGTCAATGGAAACATTTATTTTTGGAACTCTTGGCAGATGTGTTACCTGCATATTAACAGGGCTCATGGCCAGAGACAAACCTTGCATATATAGGTCTCTAAATTTAGGATTATTATATTGCACAGTACCATTTACTATTGGACCCAAGCCTGCCAACCAATACAACAGTTTTTTTCTTAGCATATACTTTTCTGGTCTCTCAGCTGGCAATCGTTTTTCAGAATATGCTTTACCCATAACATTGTCACAAAGGAAATACAGTTTTACCACACTTGCATACACCTGAGCCAATTCACCATGTGGGTCCAACATCATACTCTGTGGCAGTGCATTATAGTCCTTTAATGACATGCATTCTCTCATTATGACCACAGTATCCTCCTTACTCAATTTAGGAGTGGCACTTAACCTGGCCAACCAGTTCAGAACAGTGTCTTTATTTAACAGATCCATTTGCTTTCCAAAAGCTCTCGTTTGTTCGGGAGTCAGAGCTTTTATTTCGTATTTGGTCTCTGAGGCCCAATTAGGGCCATATTGAGTTACCTTTGTTACCACTGGAGCAAAAGGAGGTGCTCCTGACTTGGCTCCTCATAGCAAATGGGTGCTGAGGGTGTGGGCCTGCCCGCAGTGGAGTACTGTGGTGGTGGATCTCTGTTTTCTGAGTCTTAGTCAGACTCAATATTTATTACCCATGATGAATCCAGTTAGGGGGTTAGATTCGATAGCATTAATCATTCCCCTAGATAACTGCAGTTGTTTCTGTAGCTTATTGATGCAGTGCTGACATACCGCATGATCCACTGTACCACCTTCCCTGACCCGCGGGACCTCTTTTAAGAGCTGCCACACAATGGCCTGCGACTCCTCTAGCTCTTTCGCCTTGATCTCACTCTCTCTTTCAGCAGCAATAAGCTGGGTATTGAGGCTTTTTAGCTGTTCCTCCAACTGTGTGACCTGGTTAGTTAGGCTGGTCACTGAAGCAGTTGCTGCTTGTTGTTGGGCAGCCTGCTTTTCAAAGTCTTGTTTTAGATCTTGCTTTTCTGCCAGAGCCGTCTCCGTCTGCTGCTTCAGCAGCTGCACCTGGCAGTTCAGCTCTCAGCCGACCATGGCCAAGCCATAGAGCAAGGCGCCTTTCTGTGCCTTTCTTTTAGGAATCGGTTTACAGATTTTGTATCTTTTCCGTAGCTGGGATAGTTTTTGTAGGGAGTCTTCCCCTGCCAGGAACTCCTCACTCCAGGGGTTCTGATTCTTTCCAAACAAAGCCACACTGTATTCAGTGTTATTTTTATTGCTCAGCTTGTTCCACCCCAGAAAGCTGAAGACCTGCTGCGTCCTGGTGGTGCTATTCGGTTGCTTGATTGCTTACCCAACAAC